CACTCATGTACACGTCACCCAACTTCAACAATTATCAAGATATAGCCAATCTTGTTTCCATTTGTACTATAAACTTTCCTATCCTTGGTCTATTGGATCATTTTAAAGGAAGTCCTAGATATCATAGCTTATCATTTTATATGTAAATATTTCAGTATGGATCTCTGCAAAGGATTCTTTAAAAGTAAACACAATACCATTATTGAACCTAAAAAATTCACAATAATTCCTTAATATTATCAAATAACCAGTCAGTGTTCAAACTTACCTGTAGTCTCATAAATGTTTCCTTTTTTTTTTTTTTTTTTTTGAGACAAAGTCTCGCTCTATCACTTGTGCTAGAGTGCCATGGGCAGTCAGCCTAGTTTACAGCAACCTCAAAGTCCTGGGGCTCAAGTGATCCTTCTGCCTCAGCCTCCTGAGTAGCTGGGACTACAGGCATGTACCACCATGCCCCGCTAATTTTTCTATTTTTAGTAGAGACGAGGTATCGCTCTTGCTCAGGCTGAGCTCGAACAGTCCTCCTGCCTCGGCTTCCCAGAATGCTAAGATGACAGGCGTGAGCCACCACGCCCAGTGAATGTTTCCTTGTTTTCATGGTGAATAGCTGGTTTATTTGAATCAGGAGCCATACAATGCCCAGACATTGCATTTGATTGATAAATCACTTAAATCTGTTTTAAATTCTGTATCCCCTACTCCTCACAAAGTTTTACAAACTAAGGCCAAATTGTCCTCTGTCGTGCTTATATCAGTTTCCTTTCCTGCCAGTAGTGCACAAAAGATTACATTGTTTTATTAGGTTGGTGCACAAGTAATTGTGGTCTCAGACCCATTATAACTAGGCTCAAACACATCTTTATTAATCAAAATAGGAACCATTACAATCAACACATTGTTGCCAATGAGAAATAAGTTTGTTTATTCCTGTAGCATCAAAATCCGTGCTTTGGGATTCAACGAACTCTTTGAAAGCATTTTGTCCATCCTACTGGTTGTGGAAGTGTATTCCCTGCAAAAAGTTGTCGAGATGCCTGAAAAAAAGTGGTAGTCAGTTGGTGAGAGGTCAGGTGAATGTGGCCAATGAGGCAAAACTTCGTAGCCCAATTCATTCAACTTTTGAAGTGTTGGTTGTGCAACGTGCAATTGGGCGTTGTCATGGAGAGGAATTGGGCCCTTTCTGTTGACCAATGCTGGCTGCAGGTGTTGGAGTTCTCGGTTCATCTCATCAATTTGCTGAGCATACTTCTTAGATGTAATGGTTTTGCTGGGATTCAGAAAGCTGTAGAGGATCAGACCGGCAGCAGACCACCAAACAGTGACCATGACCTTTTTTTGGTGCAAGTTTGCCTTTGGGAAGTGCTTTGGAGCTTCTTCTCAGTCCAACCACTGAGCTGGTCATCACCGGTTGTATAAAATCTGCAAATCACAGTCCAGTCAAGAAATGGTTCATTGTTGTTGCATACAAGAAGAGAAAATGACACTTCAAAATGACGATTTTTTTGATTTTCAGTCAGCTCACGAGGCATCCACTTATCAAGCTTTTCACTTATCCAGTTTCCTTCAAATGCCGAACGACCATAGAATGGTTGACCTTGAGTTCTCTGGAATTTCTCGTGTAGTTCTAAGAGGATCAGCTTCGATGATTGCTCTCAATTGGCCGTTGTCACTTCCAGTGACCGGCCACTGCACTCCTCATCTTCAAGGCTCTCGTCTCCTTTCAAAACTTCTTGAACCACCACTGCGTTGTACATTCAAGCATTTCCTGGGCCAAATGTGTGGTTGACGTTGCAAGTTGTCTCTGCTGCTTTATGACCCATTTTTAACTCAAATAAGAAAATCGCTCA